AGATGCCATTGTCTTGAGCTTCACGCCCAAAAACAAACTGGCAGCTAGTGAAGTACTGGCAAGATGTCTCTGCTTACAACTCTATCAATTCTCTTTGCAGAACTAGATCCAAGAGCTGTCCCATTCCATTCTGTAGAGGGAGCATGAGTGCATCCAGTACAGGCCTCAGTCAGCTACACCACCAACCAGCTGAACCACCCTACTGGGTCAGAGCTGAGCTTCAGTTCACAGGACCTCATGCAGTGCATTAGCAGTTCCAGACACCTGCTCAGAACATCCAGTCTGATGAAGAGGGATCACCCACATATGGAGGATGCCTTCCAAATGAGCTCCCCTAGCAGCTTTATGGAGATGTTAAATAGACAAGGTTGAATCTTGCAGGACCACATGGCATCAAAGCTATGGGGCTGGCCAGCCAGGAGAGGGTGGGGTCATTAGAGTGTGATGCCCCAAATCCTTCCGAGGAAGCTGGTCCAGAATGGCCAGTGCTACTGAAAACCACTGAACAATCCAAGATAATATCCAGGGCTGCATCAGGGGGAAAGGGCTTCCTGCCATCCTAATCCATCCCAGGTCCCCATCCCCACCCCCAAACTGCGGAGTCTCTCATAGTATCCTGGGACAGGGGGTTTGGTGTAGTGGTTAAGTGTGCGGACTCTAATCTGGGAGAACCGGGTTCGATTTCCCACTCCTCCACTTGCACCTGCTGGATGGCCTTGGGCAAGCCGTAGTTCTGATAAGAGCTGTTCTTGAAAAAGAGCCGTTTCTGTCAGAGCTCTCTCAGCCCCACCTACCTCACAGGGTGTCTGTTGTGGGGAGGGGAAGGGGAAGGAGTTTGTAAGCCGCTCTGAGACACCTTTGGGTAGTGAAGGGCGGGGTATAAATCCAATCTCCTCTTCTTCTCCTCTTCTTCTAAATTGGGGTCCGGAGAGGCAGCTTTCCCTTCCTGATCTGCTCTCCTCCTCTAGTCAAGGACACCAAGAGCAGCTTCTTGCTGAGCAGTTCTCTCCCCCTTTCCTCCTCGTATTGCTTCTGTTTTTGGGGGTTTTTTTTCCCCATCTGTGCTGTGGCTTTGCTGGTTCGGTTTGATGTCGTGGTCTCCGGGAAGTTTTTAAATCTCAGCCGTGGCTTGAAGTATTGTTTTGAATTGCTGCGATTTTGTTTTTTCTCGTTTCTCTGGGCCACCTTGAGCATCTGCTCGGCAGACTAATGACCTGCAGCAGTCAAGGGAATGGTGTGGGGCCGTGGTTTGACTGCTGGCCCTCAAGGCTAGATGAGGGGGGGGGAGCTGCTTGTAGGGCTGCCAGCCTCCAGGTGGGGCCTGGAGATCTCCTGGAATGACTGCTGATCTCCAGATTTATTTATTTATTTTATTTATTATTCGACTTGGTATACCGCCCTAACCCCCGTGGGGGTCTCTGGGCGGTTCACATTTGAGGAGTGCTAATTACGATTTTATCCTTAACTACGGCCACATTCTGGAAGGGGGATGGGGCAGCCTACCGGCACCCTGGTGGAGGCTGATGTTCTTCAGCTTCTGGCTTCGTTCCCGGAGGTTCACCGGCTGTTGTTTCTCCTGGCGCTCGATCCGGCATGGAGTTGACGCCCTCCTTCGGCCCGGCTTACGTCCCTCAGGCTCCGCCGCGCTTTGAGGATGACGTCACTGCGGGGCTTTGTTCCCCTGGAGAAAATGGCTGCTTTGGAGGGTGGATGCTACGGCATTATACCCCACTGAGGTCCCTCCCCTCAACAGACGCCACCCTCCCCAGCTCCACTCCCCAAATCCCCGGCTATTTCACAACCAGGAGCTGGAAACCCTCACTGGTTGCCTCTGCCAGAGAGCCGCTTCAGGCTGTTGCATTATGGGGAGGGAATTCCCCAGTCAGTAGCACCCCCTTCTTTGGCCCCCAACTCGAAACAAGTCTTACGAAAAGGCCATAACACTCCAGTATTTTTCTCCTCATAAGGAAACCAGCCTTTTAAAAAGGCTGCCACTGGAACATCCAGCTGCACAGAAATGAGGGACGCAAGCCCTGACCTGGATAGCCCAGGCAAGCCCGACCTCATCAGATCTCGGAAGCTAAGCAGGGCCGACCCTGGCAAGTATTTGGATGGGAGACCTCCAAGGAATGCCAGGGCTGGGAGGCAGAGGCAGGCCATCAAGCTACTTCTCTGAACGTCCTCCGTGCCCCAGTAGGAGTCGCCAGAGGTCGCCATGACTTTGAGGCACAGGCACACGGACACACAAAATGCAGAAATACAAAAAAAATGAGAACGAAATGAGGGACACAAAACGATTTATTTATTGCAGACCTGGAATCAATGGGCTATACTGGCTTTTGGAGCTAAGGGGAAATTATGTACCTCACAAAGTTCTGATTTCTGGACTTCTAATTTCTGAACTGAACTGTGTGGGGTGGTGGTTGAGAGTGTCCGACTAGAGATCTGGGACACCCAGGTTCGAAGCCCCACTCATGCCATGGAAGATCACTGAGGGACCTTGGGCCAGTCGCACTCTCGTTGCCTAAACTACCTCAAAGGGTGGTTGTGAGGATAAAATGGAGAAGAGAATGATGCAAGCTGCTTTTGGGGGGGAAGCCCATTGGGGGGAAAGGTGGGGCATAAATGAAGTAAATGAAATAAGTAAACGAGTAAAAGAATAGGAGATCTTGTCCCTCAGAGAGAAGCTTGACTCGTGTTTGCTTTACAAGGTTGGGTAGAGCTTCAAAACTTATCCAAAACCTGTTTAACTAGAGGCAGGGGTCATTTCATAGAAAAAGAGGTGCAGGAGCTCATTAGCATACCTTATTTGCATAACCTATTTGCATATGCCACACCCCCTAACATCACCGGAAGTGTGTCAGAAGGCAACACCCACCGCTCAGGCTCCACTGGACTGTTTTGGATTGCTAGCTATTGGGGGGGGGGAACGTGCAGATCTGTCCTCATAGAGGAGGGAGAACTTGTACCTGAAGGCGGGCCGTCTTCTTGCTCCTCGTGGCCCGACTGAGGGCTGCTGGGAGCAGGGGGCGGGGCTTGTTGCATGTGCCCGCCCCCTGCACTCCTTACTGCCGGAGCTCCCGCAGGAAATGACCCCTGACTAGAGGCAACTTTGGGGCAGACAGAGTCAACGCTCCCTCTAAGCTGTGGAGTCTTGTGAGCAAAAACTCTACTTTGTGAGCTCCTGGCATTAAAGCTGTGAGTGAGCGATTTGGCTGCTGCATAAATGTTTTCTTCGAAGCCATCCTTCCTGAGCTGGGACAAAAATGTGTGAGCCGGAGGCTAAAAAACTGTGAGCTAGCTCACACTAACTCAGCTTGGAGGGAACACTGGACAGAGTGTGCATGTGTGTGTATGTGCAAGAGCATGTGTGCACACCACAGGCCGCAATGGTTCATTCATGGGATGGTCTTATGCCTGCCTAAATGGAGGTAAGTCCTACTGAATTGGGATTGGCTCTGGAGTAGACAAGTGCCAGGACTGGGTTGCACAACACTTGGAGGACAAGTTCTTAATCAGCACTGCATTTTCTCTCCATCTGTGATTGTCAGTGCAACTTTACTGCCAGATTTCACTTATGTACCTGATGTCGGGCCCTAGGTGCTCGAACGTGTCCAAAGAGGTAATCCAAGAACCACAGCTAAAGAAATATTGCATTGGCTCAGCAATGGAGACCATAATACAGAAAGGCCACTGGTCCCAGTTAGAATTGAACCCTGGAAGACTTGGTCAAAACATTGATACAGGAGAATTGTGTAGTGCAGTCTTCTTCTACCCCATGGGTGGAAGCAAGAGCTCAGATGCTCAGTCTCCATGGCAAACCAGCACATTGGGGATGTTGTCTTAGAATTACAGTTCTCCTTCCAGGACAGATGGCAAAATTTACTCATTGCCCCCCCTCCCTTGATAGCATTCTGTGAACCTAATAGCCTCTGTGGGGGTCCCTTTTAAAGCAACAGCAGTACTACGGAGTCACTGCTCAGTCACGCCATGCCTGACTGTACCATCTCATTTTCACCCGCTACTTGTACGTAGCCTCAACAAAGCATTCCAATATGTCACTGTCTGTGTAATAGAAGTAGCAACATCTGGAAACAAGAGGTGGGAAACGTTCTAACAGGAGATCTCAAAAGCCCCCCCCCCTCACATGCTCCAATGCAGAAATGGATTCCTGGCTCCCATTTGATCATGCCTGTCCCATGTCTATCTCTTCAGTCAAATTTTTGTAGTTGCAGGAAGGCTGGAAAGCTACATCCCGCCCCCCCCCATGTGCACACACACAGACGCCTCTCCCCAGTTTGTCTCTGAGTCTGTACCTTCTGCTCTGCCTTGGGAAATTCTGAGCTAGTACTCGCTGGGGTATCTTTGCGTGGCTCTATGGCTGGAGTGTTTCCTCCGGTGCAGAGAGTTCTGCTCCACAAGGAATAGACATCAGCTCAGCTTCTCCTCTGTCTTAGTGCCAGACGTTGGAGCACAATCTGCTGTAAGTGATTTTTAACTAAAAGCTAATGTGAAAATGGAACTGAAACCAAGGTAAACATATTAAATTTAAAGACTATTTTCAGATGTTATAAAGGGGAAAATGATTGTTCCTTGTCCTTAAAATTCCTAGAGGACACATTTCTCCCTCTGAGTCACGATGTGATTTTAATTAGATTATATTTTATTGGACTTTCTTTTCTTTTTTTACAAATCTTTTAAAAAATCACTGCCTTTTTATACATGCGTGGAAGAAAATCAATTGGGAACAACTGTACTTGGACAACTCACTAAAATCAACCAAAAAACTGGAATCGTTTGTTTATTTTTTTTATCCACATACTCAAAAAAAAGTATATCTAAAGTGCATGTTACAAAAAAATATAGAAAGTCAGCAGCACCAAGATAAAAGTTCATGAAAAATAAATACATCATTCAACAAAATAAATTATGGTAATTGTGACAACGAGAATTGTCTTAGCACAAAATAAAAACAATATTCACAATGTTCAAATGTGCAGCTTTGGAAAGCATCAGGGGCCAACAGTTGAGTTTGATATATTTACAGTATTTACAGATAATAAATACTTCTAATACTTTCCATATGTTCAGTATTACAGAATACTGCGATGTGTTTTCCAAAGACCTCAGCTGAAGATGTCAACGCCTTCTGCAAAAAAAAGAGGAAAGAAAAAAGGGCAGCATTAGGGTTTTTTCCATACTAAATAATTGGACACACCATCAAGAGTCATCCAAACAGGGCGTGCCTCTCTTGGAACAGATGATGAACATCGTTGGGTCTACTGAAGCGTTTTTCTTTCCTCCCTGTTGTTCAGCCTCTACTGTACATGGCTTTCAACACAATTAAACTAGCAATGCAAAGAATTATAGACCAAATCCAAGTAGCTGATCCTCTGCAGCTGGGTCTGTGTGAGGTAAGAAAAACCCTCGGCTTCACCTCTCTCTGTCTCACACACAAAACAATGGATCATGTCTGGATCACGAATGAATGTAGCTCTACCGAAACTCGTCTGAAACTTGGTGTGGGCCAACATACATCGAGGAAGGTCATAATAATGATTTGGAAAAGGACCAAGGTCTTTCCAAAGCTGGGGGGGGGGGGGAACACCTTCCACATTTATGCTGGACAGCCAAGTCCCAGGCTTGCTGAACTTCCCTTCCTCTGTTGGAGCTTATATATGATCACCTGTTCAAGGTCCACTCCATTTTGGTCATTCTGGTGAGGCAGGCTACTGGGCAAAACTTTACTCAACTCTTGAGTTGTGTATTTTTGTCTGTCTTTCACTCCTCTAAGCTGTCTTTTAGAACAGTTTATTCCCTTTTCCAGAGATGGGCTCCCCTTCACAGTACTTCCCTGTAGCTAGGGTTGCCAACCTCCAGATGGGGCCAGGAGTTCTTCTGGAATCACCACTGTTCTCCAGATTACAGAGATCAGTTCGCATGGAGAAAATGGCAGTTTTGGAGGGTGGACTCTATGGCATTATACCCCACTGAGGTCCCTCCCCTTCCTCCAGTTCCACCCTCCCCAGGATCCACCCCCAAATCTCCAGGAATTTCCCAACTAAGAACTGGAAGTCCTACCTGAGTCTAGATAGCTACAGGCAGGGTACAGAAGGCACAGAGAACCATGGGGAATCAGCAGGATGCAAATTCATATAATCCTCGAGCTCCTAGTTCTTGCGGGATTTTTGGACAGGTTGGAACAGTGAGGTAGCGCCCAATGTAGCCAAGATTTCATCTGGTACATGCCATGCTTTCTAAATTAAACATAAGAGCATACCCTCTTGGCCTGTATAACAAAGGCATATCACGAGCATTCCAGATAGCTGTTAAGTGTATGAAACACTTGGAATCTTTCAAAAGCAACTTCAAAGCCATTGAAAGACCTTCCTGTTCAGTTTGGAATTTTTGAGCTGTGTATTTCAGGTGTGGAGTCTGTAGCTGCAAAATAAGACTGGGCTCCAGTGACACTTAAATAAATGTTGTTAAGTCTTTAAGGCACAACCAAACTAGCTGCGTATGAATCAGTACTGGGTGCTCTTCATCCCTACTAATAACTGAGCAAGTTATCTGCCTTGGGGCTAATAAATGGGTTACTGCAGGCCGCAGGACACGTTTGCATGTGAGGCCAAGTCTATGTGGCTTCTGAAACATCTGAGAACAGCATACCATCTGGGTCGCCCTTATTGTGCAATCTATTTCTGTCCTAGCAGTGGTAAAAAAAAATAACATTGCTTACAAGTAGTTTTCCCAGTATCCAGGTGGTGGCGGGAGATCTCCTGGGATTACAAATGATCCTCAGGCCACAGAGTTCAGTTCCCCTGGAGAAAATAGATGCTTTGGGAGGTGGACTCTATGGCATTGTACCCCTCTTAAGGTCCAGCAGTTTCCCAACTGGATCTGGCCACCCTATCTCTCCATCCCCTGCTGGTGGCCTGGAGGGACCTGGTAGCCCTAATAAGATTCACAATGGAGCCAATAGCAGCTCTGTGGGGCAGTTCACAGACATCAAAGCAGCACGGGAGAGGCGGCAAAAGCCTCCCTACACGTTGTGGTCACAAACCGAAAACAGCTGGTGTGTATCTGGGAGGCACAACATTCCCATCGCACCCGTGATATGATGTACCCTAACACAAGGACTTTATAACGTGCCGACAGAGCTTTAGCAACAGCTTTTATTGTTTACATCGCTGGTTGTTTGGACTTCAGGTGCCCGTGTGATCTATCACAACCTGACAGGAGACAGTGAGTCTCGAAAGCCCTGCAGCTGTACCCAGAACAAGCCCAAGATACCAGGATCTGAGGGCACCGGAGGGATGAGGGGGCTGGGGTAGCAAAGGGGAAGAGTAACATTGTCGGAAAGTGTGTGACAGGGGAGTTGTCCAACCAAAACAGTCAGTATAGTTTCCTACTAAACATATTTGGCATTCTGGGTTCGGCGTTTCTACTTACTGCCCATAATTGCAGTGTCTCACTGGTTTGCAAGGGGCTTTCCAATTCTGTATTTATTACCACTGGTTCTCATTGCTTGGGCAGTCCCATTAATCTGGGGATGTGTATAGGCCAGGCAGACAGGGTAATAGACCTGGGTTGACAGTGGTACACACCAAACCTCCCTAGTGATTGGCAGCCTGCCTGCATGGTAGATATATTGGAGAGTATAGAAGTAGAAGAAGGCAAGGCTTCATTCCCCACCCATCAACACAGGCACACATCTCAAACCAGACAAGATTTCCCCAGTACAATTCAATTTCCCCAGCTCAGATGAGCCATATTAGGGGGGAAAGACAGGAAACTCCTCCCCTGCATATGCACAGTGAGCGTGGCAGGCTGGAGGCCGGTGGAGGAAAGTGCTTTCATGTCACAGCCAACATTCCCTCTAATTCCCTCCCCGCTACTGAGCAGGGGGTACATCATCAGAGGCACAATGGTGTTTCTCCTTTTAAAAAAAAGAGATGGCTTTTGGAATGATCTCTAACACAACTAGCTTTAATTCTTGTCTTAAAGAATCCAAACCAAGGTTCTTTAAAAAAATCTGGCCTGGGGGTGCGCATATCCTTATTAGAGCCCCGCAAGCTCTCCAGTTCTCCCTTTGGAAATCTATAACAATGGAGTAGCGCATTTCGCAGTCTTGTTTCCTTAATGGACCACATTCCCACCAAGTTCAAACAAGTTCCCTTTTGGGCCAGTATCCAAAATTAAAGATGATAGTGGGAAACAACTGGGGATCGTTGGACTTCATGTCAGGAATTCATAGCTGTCTCCCTCCCTCCCTCCCTCCCTCCCTCCTTCTTGTTTTAATGGTAACTTCCAAGGCTTTGATTTAAGGGAACTGCTGAGACTTGGTGGTTGATGGAAGTTTCTTGCGCGAAGCAGGGAGATGGTTGCTTGCAACACAGATAGGTGTGTGGCGCAATATGCCATGGAGCCGTCTAATCCCTCTGCCCACCTCTCTGCCACAGCTGCATTTGTGTTGCCAGTGCTTTGGAAGCATTCAAGGGATAGTGACTGACAGTATTTGCTTGGCCAGTGTGTTTAAAGGGTAACCATCTTCAGATACTTTAAAAACTTCCCTTGGACAAACTAAGGGACCTTCAACTTTGAATGTTTTCTAGTCCTTACAATGAAGAAATCCACACTTAAGCCCACCCACCAATCTCCATCCAAATGTCTGACCTGAGTCTACACATTTGCATGGTCCCTGAGTGCATGGAGAGACCCATGTGCAACTTGTGTGTGCGTGGGCTATGCTGAGATCTCTGGCTGAACGGAGGGGGGGAGGGGGCCAGCAAGGAAAATCCTGCTCTACTCGCCATCATTTTACACTCATCTG